AAAGGTGGGGGAAACTGGGGGGGGGGGGGGAACGCGGCAGGGGACAGAAATTCTTTGCGGTTGAACATGCATTGGGGTGTAAACATTGGAGCATCGCAGCACTGATGCCTCTTATTGCCTTAAAGTCCTTTTTCTGTTGCTGATCTGTTCTTGTAGTTTATTTTGGGGGACTTCACTGATTATTCGTCTTTGATAGTTCTGCATATCAGGAAATACAGCTTTTTTTTTTTCTTTCTTTCTTTTTTCCCCCCCGACAAGCAAAAGAGCACCTGGATGTGAAAGCTCTGATGCTGGAAATATTCAACAGCTGTTGAAAGACTGTCCTCTTCTAGGAAACGATGTAAAACACAGCTGGCATATTTAAAATTATTTTTATTAACTGTTTTTTCGTAGCCCTTTGAAAATGCTACTTAACTGAAATATTAGTTAGAAAGTAACCCGATGCATTTTGTAACACGTCTTGTTTGGTAGAGTTTGCCAAAGTCCTTTGCCTGTTAGGAGTTCCAGAGGGGAGGATTTACCAGGCTCGCTACTAAAAAGGTGGAAATGTTGCAAAGCCCCTCTTGTATTTGTATGTTTTGGGTAATTAGTTTGCCTTGTGATAACTTTCAGGGACGGGCGTTTCACTGGAATACACTACCTGAAAATGACAAGGTAATTTGAAATAGAAGTTAAACGCTTCTTGGGATTTTAGGTGACGATACTGTGATTTGGGGGCTGAGGTCCAGGTCGGTGTCTGCCCAGTACGTGTTCCAACGTACGATGCTGAAACTGCTACTGGGTGTTGAGTGTCCAGGTCCAAAGCTGGGGCCTTTATTTCTGCTACCACCCCTGCCCCATGAATTTGGTTTTGTTTGTATTACGCATAAATACCTTTTATGTGGTGACATGTTTTAACCAGAGTTTGCACTATTTAAGTTTTCTTTTTATAAAAAGTTATACAAGTCCCTTGTTTAAAATAGTCTTCTCCCCTGTAAAAGAAAACAACGCTTTAGGAAGAGAAGAAATAATTCCACTCACTGAAAGTACTTGCATCTTGCATATTTTTGGATGTCTTCTCCCCGTTGCTTTATGGTGTAAGAAATGTGTATTTTCCACCCTGTTTACTGATTTGCCTGGATGTTTGTTCTGTGGTCACAAGCTGTTCGCACCTGCTGTGTACATACTTCGTGTATACAGATGCTGCATATTGTATACACGGGCTGGAACATTTATGGTGTAAATATGGGGCATTGATGTAGGTTTTCAAACAGTAGGTGGAATGAGTTTTGACTGGGATGGTCTCCTTTATATATACTCTAGGGGTTTTTAAATAAAGAATTTGTAAATTTAGCCCTAATTCCTTTTAGTTGTAATATTTTTCTAGTGTTCTTTTTTTTTCCTTTACGTTCCTTGAAATAGATGAACTTTCAGTACTCGTTTCAGTATTAAGGACACCAAATAAGTTAAAAAAAAAAAAAAAATTGCACGATTTGTGTGCTTGAGAGGCCGTGAGTGCGGAGGGTTTGTACCGCACCCCTCTGCTCGGACCTTTCGTAGCCGAGTGTGGCCCAGGTGGCTTGTTCTGCGTCCCGGCTGGTTTGCCCCCGAGGCAGGCAGGTGACGCTCAGAAATTCGAAATCACCGTGGGGTTTAGGCCGGGGATGATCGGTGCTGTGGAAGGGCAGGCTAGCCCCTCACGCCTCGCTGACGGCCGGGCGTTTAGACGAGCGTAACGGAAGCCCGAACCTAGATAAAAACGCTCGATTGAACCGGAGAGATGTACGCACAGCTGAAATGACCTATTTTGGACCGGCTTTTTTGCCACAAAGGGGAGGCACGGAGCCGGGATCGCGGCTGCGATGGAAAAGGGAGGCAAAACGCTGTCTTGCCTCAGCGAGGCTCTCTGTACTCCCCCAGACCCGTTCCGGATTGGGCCCGTCCCTGCCGCGCCGCCGGCTGTGAGACCCCCGGCTCGGGCGG